CAAACTTTTAGACCTAGGCCCAACCCCCAAGAAAATCCAAACTTTTGAACCCAGGCCCAGCCTGGGTCGGTCTATGCTCAAGTTGGATTCACCCCTAGATTGGCTGACCTTCTTGAACAGATTGTCTGAACAAAAGTTTAGAATAGTCAAAGTGAACAGGGGGGACAGGTTTTTGTAAAAATAATCAAATTGTGTGAACGTCCATTTTCAAGTTGCCCAACTTGAACAGATTTACTGACCTTTTTACCCACCCTAAAAAATAAATAAAGTCAACTGATCCATCACGCCCAAGACTATAGTAATTCCATGTGTATTTGTGCTTTTTCAACTGTATATTTGTGGCAGTTGGAGATTTTTCAAGAAACTTGATACATATATGCTTCGAACAGCTACCATTTATTTATTTTTTTGTTTGGGTTGATTTCTGACTCCTCTAAGTCATATGCATGATGCATGTGTGGGTTTAGGTGTTGTGTTAATACTTGCTAGTTACCGGTTTTACCGAGTATTGAAGAAAAAGCAAATGAAGAAACGTAAAGAAAGCTATTTCAAGAGAAATGGTGGATTATTATTACACCAACAAGTCTCAAGTAAGGAAGGTAATTGTTGATGTTCTGATTGGCCGAGTACAACATACTAGATACGTTTTGCTTCCTAGACGAGCTTGCTAGTAGATGGATCCGAGGGTGTGTTGAGGTCGAGGGCCAGAGGGACCCGTGTCGCGATCGAGGGCTGGTGAAGTTTTCCTAAGGTCAACTGGGGCCGAGTACCTATGAAGAAAGGAGCGTTAGAGGCCCTAGACGATAACCTGAGGTGGGGATTCCGACAATCAAATTAGTGAGGGCATAGCAAAGAGGGCAGATGAGGTTGTCCGAAAGCTATCCGAAAGCTAGAGAGCAAAAGAGTTTGAGGAGATGAGTTTGGCCCCTTACCTTGGGGTAGTCATGCCCTATTTATACTTGAGGTCGCTTGTAGGTGGATGCATACAGACGTTCATAATGTGATCCAGCCCTAACAGGGTGGTCATCCGAGCTCGCCACGTGGGGTTGCACCATTGGTCCTGTGCTGGGCGTCGACCTCCACCCTGCTAGACACGCTTATTGGCTCCGCCCTTGGCCATGTATTGACGTGCTTATTGCCTCGCCATGTGCTTATTGCCTACGGTGGATGGACTTGATTTCGTCTTGGAGGTCGTAACAGTCATTGTCATGGTCGATGCCACGGTGAAACATGTAGTATTTTGCTAGGTCACCCCTCTTGAGATTCCTCTTTCTCTTCCCAGGCTACTTCAAGTACTCCTCCCCTCCTACTTGCATGAGGATGTGCGCTCGAGTGGAGTTGAGTGGCATGTACTAGTCATAGGATGAGGCCGGCGGCTTCTTGTTGTTATCGTCACCATGACTGTCTTCATGTCAGTGGTCGCCATGGTCACGATTGGCCTCTCCACCTCGGTGCTCATCAGCTGAGGCTTGCTCGGCAGCGATGTACTTCTGTGCCTTTTTCAAAAATTTCACCTTGGTTCTGGATGACATCTTAGCGATAGAGCACTTAATGGCCAACTCGGGGAGGAAGCCTTGGATTGCTGCATGCATGGAGACCATGGGGTTGAGGTCACAGACCTTGAGCTCTTCTTCCTTAAAGCAGTCGATGTAGGACCAAAGGCTCTCACCGTGTCGTTGTCGGACGACCATGAGTGAGATGACGCTTTTCTAGCATCGTCGGCTGTTGATGAAGTGGGCGAGGAAAAGGTTAGAGAACTAGTCCTAGGAGCTGATGGAGCAAGGTGGGAGCTCAGAGAACCAGTGTCAAGCTGTCCCCTTGAAGGTCGCTTGGAAAGCTTGGCACATCAATATGTTGGAATACTCGTATAGGAGCATGAGTGCTCGGAAGCTCTCTAGGTGTTCGTTTGGGTCCAAGGCACCATCGTAGGTCTCCAGTATGGGAGCTTTGAAATGATGCAGAAGAGGTTTCAAGGAGATGGCGACAGTGAAGGCGTCCATCCTGGTGGAGGGATACTGACTTGCTGAGGTGTCACCTCAACTCTCCTTGACTTGCTAGATTTCATCCTTCACTGCTCCAAGCTATGCCTGTAGGTTGGTGATTTGTTGGCCGATGGGTACCTCGGCTTTATCCTGGTCTCCTCGGCAGTGGGACGGGCTGGTTATGTCTCGATTCCTTTTGGCTCATCGGTCGTCAAGGTAGTCTTAGAGGTCCAAGGTGCGAGGTGGAGGTGGTGTTTCTTGTTGGTGGCAGTATCCTTGGCTTCGACATCGGTTGCAAGACCGTACTGATTCGTTCTTCCTTTGGTCAGGAGGGTGGAGGATTCTCGGTGGCTGACTCACACTTTAGCCGCTTCCGCCAGACGTTGAGGGGTCGGCCCGGTAAGGTTCAATAGGGCACTTAACCAGCGGAGCCCACGAGGGGCGTCTGTGGCTATGCCCTAGGTTTCCAGCGGGGCGGCCTCCTGTCGGTCGCCCCACCTCATCCAGCCTCTATGCGAGGTGGTCAAGCCGGTCGAGGATTGTTTGGAGTTGGTCCCTGGTGACCAAGTTCTGCATAGTTTTCTTGTTTCTTTCCATTCCATTGGAAGTTGAATCGTAGTGCTAGGGGGGCAGAGCCTTAGCATTCGTTCACAAAGACGGTTCCAATTGATGATGCTCGGATTGGCCAAGGACAACACAGTAGATATGTTTTGCTTCCTAGACAAGCTGGCTAGTGGATGGATTTGAGGGTGTGCTAAGACCAAGGGCCAGAGGGACCCAAAGTGTGTCGTGGTTGAGGGCTGGTGAAGTTTGACCGAGGTCAGCTAAGGTCGGCTGGGGCCAAGTACCACAAAGGAAGGGAGCATTAGAGGCCCCGGGTGATAACCCGAGGCGGGGATTTTGACGGTCAAGTTAGTGAGGACATAGCAAAGAGGGCGAATGAAGTCTGAGGAGCTCGAACGAGGTCGCCCAAAAGCTAGAGAGCAAGAGAGAGTGGGCATATGAGAGTCTACCCCTTACCTTGGAGGAGTCATGCCCTATTTATACTTGAGGTTGCTTGTAGGCGGACGCATGTCGACAGTCAGGATGTGATCTGGCCCTGATAGGGAAGTCATCCAAGCTCACCGCATAAGGTTGCGCCATTGGTCCCGCATTGGGCGCCGACCTCCGCCTTGTGAGATGCACTTATTGGCTCTGCCCTTGGCCACATGCCGACACTCCGGAGGCCTGCCTAAAGTGCCTACATCAGTAATGTTGAGAAAATAATGCTTTTTACTGCATAAGAGTTAAAAGGGCAATTGATCATTATAATGAGGACCGAATTCTTGGTCAAGGGGGTCAAGGTACTGTATACAAAGATATGTTACCAGATGGATGAATCGTGGCAATCAAAAAATCCAAAATGGTTGATGAAAGCCAACTTGATCAAACCATAAATGAAGTTGTTATACTGTCTCAGATCAATCACAAGAATGTGGTTAAATTGTTAGGTTGATGCTTCGAGGTAGAAATTCCTTTGCTAGTTTATGAGTACATCTCTAGGTACACTCTCCTACAATATCCATCATCAAAGTGAGGATGTCCCATTGTCATGGAACAACTGTTTAAGAATTACAACCGAAGTTTAAGGAAAATTGTTTATCTACATTCTGTAGCTTCTGTACCAATCTATCATAGAGACATCAAATCTTCAAACATTCTCTTAGATGATAATGTAGAGCTGAAGTTTCAGATTTTGTGACTTCAAGGTCAATTGAAATTGATAAAACTCATCTAACAACAGTTGTACAAGGGACCTTTGGATACCTGGACCCTGGGTATTTTCAATCTAGTCAATTCACAAATAAAAGTGATGTTTATAGTTTTGGGGTTGTTCTTGCAGAGCTTCTAACAGGGAGAAGCCAATTTCATCTACTAGACAAGCAAAAGGGAAGAACTTGGTCACATAATTTGTTTCATCAATGGAGGAGAACCATCTTTTTTATATTCTTGATACTCATGTTATAAAAGAGGGTAGAAAAGAGGAGCTCCAAAAAATTGCTGACCTTGCAAAGAGATGCTTAAATTTAAATGGGAAGGAAAGGCCTACATTGCATTGGAGCTTGAAGGTTTAAGGAGCGTAAAAGGGCATTCTCAAATTCAACCGAACATCCCAGAGGTGGAATACATAATAGATGAACCTTATTGTCTATGGAGTGGAACATCAACTTCAACCGGGCCTAGGAGTTTAGGGAATGATCATTTCACAACTGGAGGAAAAACCACTACTATTAAACTCATCATCTTAGCTGTCTTTGGCATATTAGAAAATATTTCATTTTTAGTTCTTACACATGCTACGTGTTTGTATTCTACCAAAAATAGAGAAAAATGCTGTGTTTGTAACTCATAATGCTTTTAGATGGATCAAGCCTCTCACGTTCGTGTACTTTTGCTACATTACAAAAAATTCTGTCATTTAATTTTATAGGTATGAAATATTTATAGATCGTATATATAATTAATATATGAGTAATGATACATTGGGTTGTGCATCAATAATTTAACCATATTAGATAAGACATTAAACTTAACAAAATAGTGAAACAAGATTCATGGAGTTGGCCTAGATAAGGCTTGGAAGAACTGTTATTATATACTATTACTCCAATAGCTTACATAATTTCTTAATTATGGTTCAAACTTCCAAGTGCCGAAGGCTTTCTGACAAAAAAAAAAAAAAATCTGTTGAAAGCTTGAAACGTGAAAGAAGAAACGTCCAAACAACTCAGAAAAAAATTGTCTATTTTAGCGTAGTAGATTAGAACTGCTGTCATGGGTTTTTGTTAGGCTTAAGCAATGTGCGTAATTTACATGACAGCTTCTAAAGATCCAAACCTATTAATGGGTATGAGGTTGATTTGATCATATTCCCTTTTCGTGATTGATTATTGGAAATCGAAAAGATGGTTTTAGCAACACTGACAAGTTTTGGTTATAAAGTAAGAACAACAAAACATTCAGTAGGCATGAAGTTCTTCTCCACAGAATTCTAGGATTTGGACTCTTTCTCTCTTTCTTCAATTCTCTCAACAAAGCTCCACATGGGTAGGAGGAAACACTGTTACAGCCACTTCAGTTTACAAATATGGATTGATGCATTTTCTTCTCAAACAGCACCTTTTAACTTCTCTTCTTGCCAATTGATATTAATATCTCAACTCTCTAATCTAGCTAATTAGTTCTACAAGCTAAAGTAAACTTGATCCATTGTAGAAATCTACAGGTATTTATTTCAATAAGAAACAAGAACCAACACTGAAATTACAATTCCAATTGTGATTGGCAGATTTTTACTGATGCTACTCTGGCTGTTGGTGGGGTGCGGCAAATTCGAAGTTCCATTTACAGATTTATCACAAGACGACTGATTGGGAGCGCATAAATCAACATTGCCTGAATAACTGCAGCATGAAAAAAAAATGAAATCTAAGTTGACGATGATGGCGATATTGTGTCAATGTTATTGTTGCTGCTTGGAACAACAAAGACAATAGAAACAAGAGCACTGGAATTACTTACACCAGTGTTAAGTTGTTATTGTTGGTGAGTGAGGAAGGTATTAATCCACTAAAGCTGTTATTTGCCAAATTTCTATAACAAAAACAAGATAAAAGAAAATAAAAGAAGTAAGAAATACAAAGTTCCAAAGATAATTAATTAGTCAACAAAATTGGAAAAGTGATGAAATACTCACAGCATATTTAGGCTGGGAAGGTTTCCCAGGAAGCTAGGAATTTCTCCACTTAAACTGTTATTACTCAAGTCTCTGCAAACGATAAGCAGAAATGATAAAACAAAATGCAAATTAGTAAAATTTCCACTTGTTTGCTTTTTGTACAGTTCTTTGTTTCTGATTTAACTACTTACATYAGTTGGAGAGTATCCAAGGCGCTAAAATCTGGGAGAGATCCCTGAAGTCCGTAGTTACTGAGATTCCTATGAATTGTTTGAAAGAAAATGAGTAAAAATAATTACCTTTGGTAGTAAACAAATTTAGCAGAAAAAAAATAAAAGAAACTAAATGATGAAAAAGAATAGATAGCTGATAAACCAGAAAATAATGAAAATAAACATGTGGAGAAACAAGATTTACAATGCCGTAATTTGAGGTGTCTCGGTATTGATAGAGCATAGAACCCAGTCCCAGGGGAAACCGTTTGGAAGACAGGGATCACCGCTCCAATTTTGAAGTTGAACAAAAGTTTGTTGTAGCATAGATAGCACTCTCACTGGCATAGGAAAGAGAAAAGAGCAAACCCAAATTAATATTTAGTTCCTGTAAATTCAATGACATTTCATAGAAAATGAAAAATAAGAGGGATGAATTTCAACCTAAATACAGTGGAAGCTATAATTAGACAAAATCCAAAATCATTATCTCAATACAACAAGAAAACGTATGAAGTCCTTATAGATTGAAAGACCATTAAAGCTGTGAACAATTTCCAGAGGAAAAACAAGGACAATCCTCTTCAAAAAAAAAAAGTATACATGCAACTATTTGATGGTTATGGTTATGGACTTGTGGGGATGCATAGTCAAGCTGCTCCTTTGCCGAGGAGAACTTCTGTATCTGTGTCATATTTGTGAAATTCAGATGGAGTTATTTTCCCCCTGTTTTTTCACAGATGGAGTTAGAGGGGATACTATGTCTCCCCTAAGTTCACATTCACCATGTACTCCCAAAGGAAAATTACTCTAGTTTGTGAGATGGTCTAGAAACTTCCCCTACAGCTTCTTCAGGTAATTTTGCCTTGTACGTATAGAACCATGATCAGTCTGGAAATGTAAGTAAGAAGAGTAGAGAGGCAATAATAGAATGGGAAAGTGGACTCACCATGTCTATTATCTGTTCCATCTGTTAGTGGGGTTCCCACTTGAAAGAGTTCCAGCGCATTGAGTATTGGGGGAAGAGTGGAGTCGGATGTGCGGTAGAAGTAGTACGTTGCATTATATCCACCCTCGTATGCAGATGTATTTGAAGTGAAGTTGAGCTCTAAAGCACTTTTATAAGGTGGAATTATGGGATGGGAAATATTTTCACCGTTGATGTAAATGGAAAAGGAACGCTTGTCCGAGAAATTGAGGTTTAGCAGTTCGGAGAAATAAAAAATGGTGTACATCTTAGTGGCTGTCAGATTAGAGAATGTTAAGGAAAAAGAACCGGACAAATTTTGGTTGTAAAGTGCCGTCTGTAATACGAATTCTGGAGGCTTATCTGGAAGGTCTGTAGCCACAATTCTGGTGTCGCTTTTCGCAGTAACGAAACCTTCGGCGGTTGGATGGTCATACCAAATTCGATCGTATTTATCGATGGGGAACCTGCAAAATCAAAAACAACAAATTCGATCATATTTATCGATGGGCATTCCAAATTCGACCATACTTAGAATTTTTCGCACTTTAGACTGTATTTGGTTGCAGTCTAGTTTTATTTGCACTAGTATAAATACATGGGAGTGCAAATGAAAAAAAACGCAAGCTTTGATTTGATTTTGTTTTGGTCCTTTTGGAATTTACTTTATTTTATTCTGGATCTTATTGTACTTTATTTGTAATGTAAAATAAAATTTAAAACAAAAATAAATCAAAATTTGTACTCAAATTATTTGTATTATCATAGTTTTGCATCAGTGCAAATGAATTTGCACTGCAATTAAACACAGTTTGAAACACAAATACAAATATATATATATATATATATATATATATATATATATAATGCAAAACCTTGTATTTTGTATTATATTATAATGTATTTACACTTTACATTTTTATATTTATATTCCTTTAAAAACTGAGCCTTAAGCAATATTTAGTGAGAAAAGTTATACAAGAGGGTGTAATTTAGGCAGAACAGGCCTAAATTACAAGGTTCTGTATTGCTAGAGATCACTGTGGGATTATTTGTGACCTGAAGCGTATTGCATCGGTTTTGCCTCTATAAATGTTGCAGAGGCTTGGGTGGCCTGGGAAGCGTTGAGCATTGCCATCAATTTCAAGGATTCCCTATCATCATTGAAAGAGACTCCACTGCCTTAAGAAGATTGTGGATTGGTTAGTGAAGCTATGGTGGGTAGGACTGTGCATATAAATAGTTTGCTTTGGGATTTAAGGTATATTTGTCTGTGATCTTTGGGGACATACTACCCCAGGCGTGTATAACACCTTTTGGTTTTGTCAAAACAAAGTTAAGGGTTAAATACTTAAATACCCCCTAAGGTTAAGTAAATGAAAACAAATTTATCCTACTATTTAAGAAATTATGTAAAATACCCTAGATATTTCCGACAATTGACAACCCTTTTAAATATGGATAGAAAAGGTAAAAATACCTTACTGCCCTTCCATTAAGTAAAGAGGTAATATGATGACCGCTGCAAAAACACACCAGAGAAGATGACTACTAGAAATTCCAACAAGATCTCCGGTGATCACTGCAAATCCCAGCAAGAGGAGCTGTAGTGGTGGGGCGGTGCTCTGTATCCATACGGAATCAAAGAGACAGAAATCGGTGGGGAGAAGAGAAGGAAAATGAAAACAATGGAAAAAAAAACCGGACTAAAGACTTCAACTCCTCCTATTGGTTGATTTGCAGGGTTTCAGAATCACCTGTGAAACCGAACTGTTGTCTCTAGTGAAGAAAGAGACAATTGCTGAGTCTGGATTAGTTTACTATATTTTGTTCCTTTTTTATTTCTCAAAGAAAAGGTAAAATTGGAGTGAAAGCAGTCTTGGGTGAGAATTTTGGTAGCGATCAAGATGGCGGTGATGCTTGTTTTGAACATGTGATGGTGAAGGAAGAGATCCCATAACATGTTTTGAACATGCCTGTACGGTTGTACCAGCTGGTGGTGTGGAGCAATAGCCCATGGCAATGTTAAATCCCATTTAGAATGTCATTATGGGTGGGAGCTCCATTGATATATGTAGCTTCAATGATGTTCCTGTTGCCATGAACTAAAACAGCTCTGCTTTTTGACTTTTCCCTAGGGTAATGAGTCCGTGATTGAGGAAGAAAAGGAGTGGACCGATGAGGATTACACTTTGCTGTAGAAACATATGTCGAAGCACCCTGTTGGAGGACCAAGACGGTGGGAGTTGCTACTATAATGATAGTAATTTGGATTTTGCTACTAGTTTCTAGAGGAAATTGAAGCGGTGCAATGGTATGGTGTATTTTTGTTCCATCAACAACAACCGGATAATCTTCCATGTCAAGTTCATCCATGAACTCCGACTCACATGGTGCAAGAGTTTATGAAGCAAATGGAACACCCAAAAGTTGTTCGATCTTTTGCTTTAACTACAGAATGGGTTCCTTGTAACCCACTTCTATGCTCAACTCACACACTCTGGTAGACATGACAACCCTCATTTTGGTGCCAAAGCTTAATTAAAAGCAATTCAGTTTCTCTCTATTTGAAGCATATATAAAGGACGAACAAAGAATTAGTAGACAATTGTTATATGCAATATTGATATAGAATTTCATAAATTACTAAATGCAAATAGCTAGCAATGAATTCAGTTTAGAAATGGAGGAGATGGTGGGAGTTGATTGTCGAGGCTTTTAGAGGGCCACATGGGTTAGATAGTGTGATTAAGACAACGGAGTTGACGTCGAGAAGAAACTAGGTGGTGGGGATTTGTTCTCCCAGTTTTTGTAGTAGAAACCTTTGGACATGTGGATTCAAGCCATTGATGGAGAAATTCCCAGTGGCTCAATACAGATAGTGTCAAAGCTAAGAAAGAAAGCAAGGGTCCAAATTGGAGCTCTAGAGAATCTCTCTCTCCTCAATGCTTTCAAGGCATTTCCAAAAGATTTTCAATGAGATGGGAGAAGATTGCAACAACCGCTGGGCCTAGGGATGGTGCCAGTTCCAAGGACCTAAAGAAGGGTAAAGGAAACCCCTGTACCCCATTCCTTGAATATTTTTCTTTCTCGAACTGAAGGATTCTACCATTGGTCAATTACAGAGTTTCGGAATCGCTTGCAAAAACCAAACTGAAGATGGTCATGTTGTAGGGTTTCGTCTTTGAGCTCTGCACTTCCTAAGTTGTAGGGATCTTGATGCCATTGCAAAAGTGAAGGGTATTTTCGACCATAAAAGGATAGTTTAGGCATTTTGAAGAAATAAGTCTTATGTGGCATTACATGTGAATGGATTAAACAGTAAAGTAGGTTTGTGTCTATTCTCTAAACCTTAGGGGGTGTTTAAGTATTTAATGGTCCATATGAGTCTGCCCGAATTAAATTTAAGGGTAAAATATAAAAACCTTCCCTGAAGTTTTTGACAATCATAAAAACCTCCTCTATAGTTTCATTTTAGTAAAATCCTCCTCTATAGTTTCATTTTAGTAAAAACCTCCCATCTATTTTTGATAAAATTAACAAGTACCTCCCTTCCATCAATGACCAAGACGAAAAACATTAAAGAAATGATAATTTTTTCAAAATACCTACTTTACCCTTTCTCAAACACTGCTCATCTCTTCTCCCTTTGAACCCAAAAGCAAAAGCAACGGCGGCACTGGTGACAGCGGTATGGCAGTCCAAATTAGGACAGGAGAAAGAGCAATGCATTTCCAATGAAAACAGAACAGATAACCAAATCAGCCCATATTATCTTGTAATGGGCGGCATTGCATTTCATTTTCTGACAATCATAAACTTTTTGCTATCGTTGGCTGCAGGGGGCTTTGCAAAGCCTGGCCGATAGCCTACCACGGACAGTTGACTTTCTGGGAATTGAGAAGAACTTCTCAGTTCCACCGGTTGTGCCTTTACACAGTGAAACCAGCATTACCATGCATTTTAGTACATGTACAACCTTACTAGTTTTTGCTACTATGCACCAAACAGACTGAGAGAAGCAATTAGACAACGAAGAGAGAAAGAGAAGGAACTTACTATAACTGAAGTTGGCAAGGCTGCCACAAGGGACGTAATCGTAGACAATGAGTTTCTCCTCGGAACCCCAGTAGAACCCTCGTATGCGCACCAGATTGGGATGGCACAATTTAGCTATATAAGCTTGACCTAATTCTCGAAATCTCAATATCTCTCTGTACCACTCTCACCGGCTCTTCGCACTGCCAGCGTCATCCCGTCCTCCAGCACAGCCTTGTATACTATGTTCAAACTAGTCGCTCCCAATATATAAGTCGATGCTTTCAACAGAGTCTCCAGTTCCGACTTCGTTTCTCCGTCTACAGTTACTAGAGACCCTCCCTTTGTTCTTGTTGCTTTTTCTGTTGTTCATCACCCACCTTTTCAGTCTTCGTCTTCGTCACTATCGGTGCTCGTCAGCTCGGACATCTCTTCGCCATCGTTATTTTTCTTTCCCAGGCACCAGCACGCCAGCCCTTTCGGTTCCGTTGATGACAAAGGCCAGATATCTTTCCCATCCATTTCGTCTTTCTTCTCTGCGCTTCCTGTACTTCTGACCACCTTCTTCCTTCTCTTCCTTATTTGGTAATCATAACAGAATATCATAGCCAGAACTCCGATACTAGCCAAATCCCCAAAGATGATGCCTACAATTGTTCCTGGTCTGAGACCCCTTTGCCTTTGCTATTGAGTCCCATTCATTGTTCCAGATGACCCAGTTATAGGTGTCAAGTCTATGGTGTTCGGAATAGTTGCAAATGCATGAGAAGAAGTAATTTCAGAGACATTAGGTGGAGTAGAAAGAATGGAAGTCATGGCACACAGGTTCTTTAGTGGCTTCCCGCATAGACCTGGGTTGCCAGCAAACGATTCCGTTTTCTGATTGAGAAAAGCTACGTTTTTCCGGGATTTCTCCTGTGAAATTATTGAACGAGAGGTCAAGTGTGACATTCCCTAGGATTTGCTTCCCAAATTCCAGTGGAATCCTTCCGACGAGCCTATTGTACGAGAAGTTCAAGTAACGGAGGCTGACTCCACCGAAATCTAGCGGCAACGACCCGTTAATCAGATTGGAAGACAGATCAACGACTTCGAACACACTTGGAACACCGCCATAGAAGTAATTATTGCTCAAGGAAACGACTGTAAGATTTCGAGGAGCAGTGATGAGGTTCTGAGGAATCTTTCCCGCCAAGGCATTAGCAGAAAGGTTAAAAAACTCAAGGTTCTTCAACCCTCGGATTGTCTTCGGTAATTCTCCTGAAATTACGTTGTTGGAAAGAACAGGGGGTTAACTGACTAGAAGAAGAAGAAAATGAGAGAAAGGGAGAGAGGGAGGAAGGGAGTAGCTGAGAGGGGGTGTCGCCGCCATTGATCTGCTTCTAGGTTCGAACGAACGGGGAAGGAGAGGAATAGTGCCTTTTCGATTGATTTATGTTGAGGGAGAGAGGGGCAATAGGAAAGAGAGATTAAGAGGGAGAGAATGGTGGAAAGGGAGAGGTTTCGCATGAAGTACCGCCGTTGCTGAGAGTTGCAGAGGTGGTGGTAGAAAACAAGGGCAATGGAAGGGGACAATGCTAGAAGAAGAAGAAGGAAAGGAAGAAGAAGAACAAGAATAACTGAAAAGAACAAGAAGCCAAAGAAGATTAGAGAAGAGGAAGAGATCGGATTTAGAGGGGTGTCGCCACTGCCTTTGCTTTTGGCTTTGAACGGGAAAGAAGATGAGCAGTGTTCGAAAAGGGTAAAATAGATATTTAAAAAAATGATCATTTCTTTAACGTTTTCTGTTTTGATCATTGAACGGAAGGGAGGTATTTGTTAATTTTATCATAAATAAAAGGGAGATTTTTTGTTAAAATAAAACTATAAGAGAGATTTGTATGATTGTTATAAACTTCAGGGGAGGTGTTCGTTGTTTACCCTAAATTTAACACACATTAGACTTAGGTGGGCTCGGGCCTTGGCCAAGTTAGGTGGTCAGTTTGTAGTATGCCTATTAGGCCCAATATGAAATGCCGTCAACTTATTTAGCACCAGTAATTTAAAGGCTGTCAATTGATCCCAGCATTCTGACTCTGAATCTGATTATCCTGAAATTTTTTGGGCAATTGGATCAGATGGAGATTCAACCACATACAATGTCCCACAAAAAATATTATTTATATATTGTATATAATTATATAAAGTTTATAATTCGTAATTTTAATACTTTGTATTTATATACATTATTATATATAAATTAAAAATAACTATTCTTTTGATTATTTTTTAATTTTTTTAATCATTTTAAACACAATGAAATAGTTGCAGATTAAATTTGGATATTCAAGTACGATCATGTAGTGAATCAAGTTTGGGCTGAGCTACAAATCGGGCTAAACCTAGATTATGGACCCAGACCCAGCCCAAAAGATAGAAGAGCATGGGGCTTTTGGCATAAACCCAGTGGACATGAAATCTAACCGTGGCCCATGTAGAATCCCAGGTTAGGTTATGTCAGAAGTCTGATCCAAAATTCCAACCCGCTTTTTTTGAAGTCCGGATCTCCTACCCAAGCTGATTCTACCCACACCTACCCTTATCCGCATGAGATTGCAGCCACACATGAGAAACATTGAGTTTATCACAATCACACATGGAGAACATTTCATCCTCTGTGCATAGTACTATGCAGGGGGAGATGTTCCCAATTCACGGGGGTAGTATATTATGGGTAGGCATGGGCAAAGTTCTAGTGGGCAGAAGATCCGGAGTCAGAAACATTATTTCCATGCATTAGGAACATCTCAACATCTCCCATGCTTAATAACATGCAAGAGCTAGCATGAGATGTTCCTCATGTGTGGGTAGGAGATCCGGACCTGCAAAAACAGAGGATCCTCAAATCCGCCGATTTCAGTTGAGTCATAAACAATCTGGGGTTGAGAACTTGAGGGCAGTAATTCTTGGATCCACCAAAACGGTTTCCACTTTCCACCCCATTTCCCAGCCCCCAAATTAATCCAAAGTCTAAATACGGACAAAGAATTTGGAAGAAGATATGCATGACTTGGCATATGACATAACGTACCTGACAGTTTTATCTCCGCCATAGTTTATTCTTCGTTTGAAGAACAATGGATAATTTGGATCAGCTCCACCATACATGCCTAAATCCAAGCTTATTACTTGAATTGCAGAAATAAATGGTTGGTGATCAGGACTTGTCCGAGCAACACAGACACTTATGGCATCAAACTTGGTGAGATATATCACTTCGTAGTAAAATGGGTCTGTTCTGCAACTGTCCACTTTTCCCCAGCGGTTGCCGTCGAAGTGAAGATCAAAAGTTGGTGTAGATGATGTTTCACTGTTGTTGCAATTCCCATAGTAAAAGTATGCACGGAGAAGAACACGCTCTCCCTTCCCCACGTCAATGGAGTAGCAATTCTTGTTTCTAGTGGGAAATACTCTCCGAGTTGTGTATTGAATAGCAACTGGTGAATTACCTGCACTCGGAACAGTTTCGCTTTTACCGCTTTTAATGTAGGGCTCATCTCCAACCCAAGTGATATTGTTGGCGTCAGTAAAAGAACCCAAGGAGCCACAATCTATGTTCAGGAATACTGCATTCGATCGCACAGCATGAAAAGCAAATGAAACAGAGAATGGATTATTATGGACGATCACACAAGAAGAAATATTAGTTGCTCATGAGAAGGGGAACTTAATTACCAGCTAGTGTTGGCACGGATAGGACGAAGAAACCCAAAAGCATTTGCAGGAGAAGAACAAGAATGTTGATCATGGTGGTCTCTCTACAGAGCCGGGGTTGAGACTTGAGACTTGAGAAAGAGGTCCGGGTCCCGGCCGGATTGAGCTTTTAGCTTGTCTCCACGATTCCACACTTATAATTTTGATTTGCGTTTTGCCCGATTGACTAAAATTTGCTTGCGTCAATGGTCATGATATTTGCCAAAAAAAAAACAAAAATGTCTCGATGTTTGAATATTCAAAGGATTGTGACCTATAGTTGAATTGGTCTTAGCTATCACTTACGAGAGTCTTTAGCGTCCTGAGCCTGAGGTGCTCTTTGGCAGTCAGATCATGGTTTTCTCCTCTCAGAAAGGCCATAATCAGACACACCTTGAGTTAAGAAACACTGCGTTGCCAACACACCGTTTCTAAGGCAGGAGACTCCTACACTATGAGTCAAGAGTCAAGTCAACGTGCAATAATTTAATTTGTGCATTAAAGTGCCAATAAATTTATTGGATGGCTTGTACCGATAGTGGTAGCAACTTGATGAAGCTAGCTACCACCAGCAAGTTGCTACAAAAAAAAAATAAGTTCATTAATTTACTAGAACACCCCTATATTTTTAAGAGTTCATTTTACAAAAAATATCCTTATAGTTTGCCACCTATTTACTTAATCAATCTTTGGTTAAGAAATGAGAATTTTTTGTTTTGCCATCTAAAAATGATAACATGATATTGGAAAATGTTCAAAGGCATGGATGCATGATTATTTATTCCAAAAGTACTCTAACACTTCATACAGAAAACAAAATTAATCAAATAGGGCCAATGGTTGTTTGTATTTTAATAGGGGCAAAATTGATATCTTCATTTTTAGTTTTATTAAATTTATTTGAATGGATGTGAGGGTCAAAATTGTTATTTTTTACTTTTTATCTAATTGAAAAATTGATTAAATAAATTGATTGCAAATTATAAGAGGTATTTTAATAAAATATAAAAATACAAGTTAAGTTTTAATCCATAAAATTATAGGGTTGTTTTAGTAAATGACTCAAAAAATAATGATAAATTGTTGACTTAGCTTTTGAATGGGTAAATGGCAAAGATTCGAGCAGCAGCTCGCTTTTTAAAATTCTTATCATTTAACACATGGCTTTAAAGCAGTGGTTGGCCAAGGCAGTCGAACCACTCAAGTGGATTTGCTTAAAAAAAACCATTGAATCATTTAATAAACCGTCGATTTAGACAATTGAACCACTAATCATTTCAACCCAGACAGTGGTTTATGGTTTTTTATTTTTAAATATTGAATAATGTTATGGGTAAACTAGACAGCCAAATTGCTGGCCTAGAAATTAGAGGCAAAAATATTTTTGATAGTATACCCTGAAAGATATTGCATAAATATGTGAGGGTGCTCATTCTCAAAAATCTTTATCAGGTTGGAAGTTAGATATCTTTCTAGGTTTGTCAATGGCTTAGCTTTGGTATGGGTTCTAGCTCAGCCTAAACCGATCCAAATCTATACCACCCAATCCAACTAAACTAAATGGGATATTGTACCGGGTTGGGTCAAGCTCATCTAGATGAAAAATTGAAAACCAACTCTGCAAGGCTATTTCTACAAATGTTGCAATGTCATAATGTTAGCCGATGGTTTGGAGTGGATCAACCTCAACTGAGAACCAATTAAAGCTGATTCAATCCTGACCCAAACTCAAGCAAGTTTGAACCAATGTGAGCTCGAAACTTGTGTTTGCATAGGCTAGAGAACCCAGGTTCTTCACCGAGTTGAGCCATGCTTGGGATTGAGGCCCAAATATTAATTAAGCGCTGGGCCCTAGATCAAACACAACCTGCTCATTTGCTCAAGTAAAGAATTGATTGCTAGTTTAAACTTACTTGCAAAACTTAACTAAGATCAGTATTAATAGATTTACCTTTACCTTCAAAGCAACGTTGGTTATGGATCTAGAAAATTAAGGCCTCGATTGTATTTATTAACTACTTACTTTATTTTTTAGAAATATAGGTTGATTTGTCCATTCCCTTTTCCTGATTCATTATTGGAAATTCCAATTATGTGTTTAGCAACAGTTAACTTCTGTCTACCAATAACAACAATAACAATCAATGGTATGAGGTTCTTCTCCACAGCATTCCAGGATTTGGATTCACTCTCTCTGTCTCTCAAATCAACTAATTTAAGGGGCTGTTTAATAAGAGCTGAAGATGCTGAACTGAAAGGTTTATTGTTTTGTGCTTTAGTGAATAGGTTTTTAAGGAGATTTTGGAGCTCCAATGGCTGTTATCAAACAGCCCCTACCCACTGCAGTTTGTAGGTAGATAGATTGATGCATGATTTCTCCAAAGCTACAGTGTCTTTTAAGATGGACTTTTTACAAAATAAATGACCTTGGTCATTTGACAAAATCAGTTATGCTTTTAAGATAAACATTTTATAAACAGTGAGTGGTATAAAAAAAATATTTTCTTTGACCAAATTTCCCCATTATTACTGTTCATTGTCTTCCCCCTCCTGGGTAAGTCTTCCTCCAATCTCTCTCCTATTCCCTCTTCTCTCACTCTATATCTTACTTCTCTCTTCCCCTCTCCCTCCGTTATCCCCCCCCCCMCACTCCCCCATCTCCGCTCGCTGCTATAACCAATAGTATAGTGGTGGTTCGGCCCGTCACTACTATCACTACTTCGGTATAGTATTACAAGTACTTTGGTGATTTATCACCATTTTTCTAGAATCCTTATTGTCCCACGATGCTGGCACCCATTTTCATTATCCATTTCGTCTTTTCTCAATAATACACGGAACCTCTTGCTAAGCGATGCCGTTGGTAGCAGTGGCAGTTGTTTTGCACCACTGGTTGATAAGTTTTGAGTACGAGCTATGACTGAAGCAACACTTCTTCCTACCACCTTGCTAATCATATTGCAGACTGATGTCTCTTCTTGAAGACAAATAACAAATCGAAACAGATTGTCGTATCCCTTGCTGTAGCAAACGAACCTAGGCCAAAATACGACCAGGTAAGCTCTGTTATTGTTCACTGCATTTCATTCTCGTTTTTTTTATTTTCATTTTCGTGCTTTTCAAGTTAAATCCCCTACATTTTATTACGAAGCAGTCAGGATCTGAGGGGAAATTGCCAGAATTGGTGATGAGGAATCCGCTGATCGAACCAGCTTCTGGTAAATGGTCTGATGGTGATGCCGAAAAGAAGAATGAGAGGAAGGTGAAGAAAGAAGAGGGAAGAGAAAAGAAGGGAAAAGAAAGAGAAATGATGAAAGAGAGAGAGAGAGAGAGAGAGAGAGATCGGATTGGAGAGAATATGATCGTTGTCGCACCTGGTTCAGTGTTGAAAGGTAGAAGAAGATGAATAGTATTTGGACAGTTATAGAAGAGAGAGATGCTAAGAATGAGAGGGGAAAAAGTCTTGTGACGAGTCTTTTAATTGAGGGCAATTTTGTCCTAGAAAATTAAAGTTCTTTCTCGTTCATTACTTTTATCATTATTTCAAAAACATAATTGATTTTGTCAATTGACCTGGTCATTTATTTTGTACAATTCAAGTCTCTAATTTAATTAGTTTTATAAGATAAAATTAATTCATTATAGAATTCTACAGGTACTTCAATAAGAAACAAGAACCGACACTAGAATTACAATCACAATTGTGACCAGAAAATTTTTACTGATGTTGCTCTGGCTGTTGGTGGAGGGTAGCAAAATCGAAGTTCCATTACCAGAAATATCACAAGACGACCGATTGGGAGGACATAATAAATTCGGGTTACCTGAATAACTGTAGCATAAAAAGAATAAGACAGAGAAAGCCAATATTATTGTTGTTATTTAGGCTCAATTTGGAAGGAGTATAAATTTTAATATAGTAGAGTGTAAAATCTTGTATTTTATATTATTTTGCATGTATTTGTACAATATATATTTGTTTTTAGGGCTCAGTTTGAAAGGAGTATAAATATAAATTTGTACAATATAAATACATATAAAATACAATGTTTTAAGCTCTACACATTTGTATTTGTACTCCTTCTGAATGGTTTCAAACTGAGTATACATACAAGATTTTGCACTTTACATATTTGCTCTTTTCAAACTGAGACTTAGAAACAATAAAGACAAGAAAAAACAAGGACAATTGATCTACTTACACCAATGTTAAGTTGCTCTTATTAGTGAGTGGAGAGGGTATTAATCCACTAAAGTTGTTGTTTGCCAAATTTCTACAACAACGAAGAGAAAAAGAAACAAATAAAAGAAGTGTTAGAAAGATGCAAAATTCCAAACGAAAAAATTGGCCCTCAGCAGGAAATACTTACAGCATGTTCAAATTAGGAAAGTTAGCCAAGTATCTAGGAATTTCTCCACTTAAACTGTTATTATTCAAGTCTCTGCATGCCATAAATCAGGGCAATGTTATTAAAAAAACTACAAATTAGTGCAATTTCCAATTTATTACTTACATTAATTGGAGAGTATCCAAGGGGCTAATATCTGGGAGAGACCCTTGTAGTCCATAGTTACCGAGATACCTATGAATTGTTCAAAAGAAATAGAACTAACGATGTTCCTTTAGTTGTGAACATAGTTAAAAGAAAAATTATAAAGAAATAAAGGATGAAAGAAGATAGATAGTTGGTAAACCTGAAAAAAAAAATAGCTCAATAATGTGATTAACTAAAACTATATGCCTTCCAGAAAAAAACACTAAAACTAAAACTATATAAGGTATATTGCAAAAATAAAATTTTAATTCCCAGCCCAAACACAAAAAGAAAATATGGGGAAACATGATTTACAATGCAGTTACTTGTGGTGCTGTCTCGCGAGAACCAAAGGTACATTGGATCCAGTCCCAGGGAAAATCGTTTGGAAGACAGGGGTCACCGCTCCAATCTTGAAGTTGAACAAAAGTTTTTTGTAGCAAAGATAGCACCTTTACTGACATAAAAAATGAAGAAGAAAGTAAGCCCAAATTAATTAATTTTCAATTCCTGTAAATCTCAGGTAGAGAATGATAAAAAAAGGCACTTTTACGAAGCTTTAGATCGAATAATTTCAACTTAGATAAAGAAGTTGTAATTAAATAAAATTCTATATCATAACCTAAAATCTGAATACAATGAGATTATATATCAGCCTTTATTGATACAAAAACCATTAAAACGGTAGCGAGACTAGAAATGGCAATTTGACCTATCCCCGTGGGGCTTCGCCCCATCCACCTTGGTCTCGGCTGGKTTTTAAAACCACAGGTTATGGTTCCAAGAAAACCTGAAACTCTGAGGATCAGAGATGGTATTTATCCACCCCACCCTAACTATATTATATAACACAATTCATATAAAATTGATAATATATGTTAATATATATTATATTATATTATATTATACTCTATTATATTACATAATATTAAATAGTTTTAGGTAGGTTTCAAAAAATTAAAATATAATAAATTTATAAGTATACAAGTAAGAATGACTTTGGCGAGGCAGGGCAAAGTCAGGGATCCCCGCTCTTTGTAGGGACGGGGATAGAGCTTAGATTTTTAGTAGGGATAGATTTGAGTAGAGACAAGCCGAATAGCTAGTTATTCGAGCTCAATTTGCCAAGTCTATACAAGGCTCGAGCTTGAGCACGACTTGGCTCAAGCTCGACTAAGAAAAATGTTTTATAAAAATAAAATATATATATATTTTTATTTGATATTTAAAAAATTAAGAATTATAATTAGTTATTATTATATAAAAGCAAAAATATTATATATAATATTTTTATTATATATTATTTTCTATAATTTTATATTGTTGTTGTTGTTATTATGCATGTAGTTATTCGAGCTTAGTTCGATTAAAAAACGAGCTTGTAAATTGGACTTGAGCTTGGTTCGAATCTCGATTTCAATCGAGTTGACCCGAGCTTGAATAGCTCATGAAGAGCTCGGCTTGTGGCCACCCCTACCCACTAGGGTTTGGGGCAAGAAATTTCAATTCGGGGTCAGGTATGGGGCAAGTAAAACCCAACCCACCCCTTCCCATTGTCATTCCTAAGCCAGAGAGAGAGAGAGAGAGAGGGAGAAAATTCTAACTGAACTAAGAACCAAATCTTTATAATGTGGGATAGATTCTTCTTTTGAATTGGTGATTGAATGCTTACTTTCAAAGTGACTTTGCTTTTGTAAATGGTTCTTGTACTACTACCAATGGACTTAGTGAAGTCAAGGGCAAAGAAGGCTAGTTTTCCCCATATGAGTAACTACAATTGACTAATGAACTAGATAACATCGGTGATTCTCTTTGAAAATTTGAAGAGTAGTGAAGGGTTAAAAAGTCTTTTTAGTAAGGGAAAATTTCTTATTAGTATGTTGTACTTTGGTCTTAATGTCATTTTGGTCCCCAATTTTAAAATGCAACAATTCAAGCTTTACTTGCCATTAATTAGTTGTTAAGTGGCATTTGAAAAATATACAAATGTTCTTTAGTGTTATTTAATTTTCTTTATCAACCAATCAAACATTGACAAAAAAAATAACAGCCTCAAATCCTTATCTCTTCTATTCAAAAAAGTTGTAGTCACCAGAATGCTCACATGACAAAAAAAATAACAGCCTCAAATCCTTTTTCGTCAACATTTGAATAATTGATAAAGAAAATTAGATGACACTCAAAAGGTATTTATATCCTTTTCAAATGCCACTTAATCGCTAATTAACTATAGATATTGAATTGACATATTTAAAAATTCAGTTACTAATTGTTTCCTTTTAAAATTCAAAGACCAAAATAACATTAGACCCAAACTACAAGATACTAATCCAAATTTTCCCTTCTGTTGTTAATTCTGTAAAACTAAAGAAGCTTATAAAAGGAAAAGAAATGGTAAAATACCCAAACAGTATAGAGACTCAAGAAAACGGGTCTATAAAGTAAGACTCACCATGTGTCCCATTTGTTCCAGAAGCTTCTAGGGCGTTGCCGATTTGAAAGATCTCCACTGCATTGACCATTGGTAGGAGAGTCGAGCCGGATGGTGGTAGAAGATCGTAACTTGTACCCATTTTATTGGCAGAATAGGATATATTTGTGGTTAAATCAATCTCCAAAGCAGTTCCATAAGGTGGGGTTATCGGATTGGTGATATTTCCGCCATTCAGATAAATCCAGAAAGATCGCTGCTCCGAGGAATTTAGCTGCTCTAATTCTAAGAAGTAGAAAACGCTGTACAGTGTGATCTCATCCTCACCGATGTCCTCGTAATCAACGATCCATATGGCAATACCAGGATCAGACGAATTTGAGCTTTTAATTTCTGTCTGTAACACAGATTTCGGAGGCTTATTTGGAAGATCTGCAATTATAACTTCACTATAGTTCGCAACCAATTCAGTGCTTCCTGCATATCTGAGCGCAAAACGATCATATATATCGCCTGGTTCCCAAACTCGATCATATTTATCATCTGGGAACCTATAAAGAGAGAATACTCGGAAGTTAGGACCTTTTTCTTTTCTAATTAAGTAATAACAAGGGAAAATTTTGGTTGCTAATGAAGGATTGCGTCTTTCCTCGGTCTAATTCATTAAAAATGCCACATCTAATTAATGAGGGTTGTCTAGGTTTGAATCATGCTCAACTGAGAACAAAGGCAGAAAACCCTAACATAATGACTGTCGATGCCCTAATTCTCTTCTTTGTGGCAGAACTTCCGATGAAAACTGCCATGAATGAAGATGAATTAACAAGAAATGGCTCAGTTTGTAAAGAGACATGAATGATGGGAAAAAATCACAAAACATATGACAGACGCTGAATGTCATCCCTGAAAATTTAACGTTTATTTGGCACTAATGTCATTGCTCCAGAAAACAATGACATATCAGTGTTATATCAAAAAAAATGGTGCTCTAAGAAATGCTTAATTATTTAGAATCGTTTTTTCATAAAAAACGGTGCTTCAGATCATGCCATGAAAATCGAGAAGACGTAGTTTGGAGTAATACCGAATTTGATGTTTTCAAATATTGCAGTTCATTGCTGCCAATGAGGATGTGATGTGAACTTCCTATAATGGATATCAGTGCTGAAAATAAAGACAAATATAGAGCACTGGTATCAAACAGAAAATATTACTATTACTCCTATAATAAATGTCTTACCTAACGAAAAAAAAAAAAACACCATTTTCTCAGAAAATATAATAATTCCAACCCACACATCAATATATCTGCAGCACCGATACTAAACACATACTTAGAATGCCATGAGCGTAGCCACAATCCATAATCTTTTCTATTCTATTTCGCTACATGCTTATTTTTATTTTCTCCAACCCAGAAAGAAAGACGTTTTAGTAAGGACCCATTTCAACTGAATAAAGACGGAGAGGAGAGTCCCCAACCGCTTGAGGAGGTGTGCTTTTGAGTTTTGATCCTCCTTACTCCTTACCAAATATGTTTTTGACCGTTGAAGCTTATATAACGCCTACATAGACTCGAAACAGGCACACAATACCGCGGCATCAAACAATGCCTTTGTTAATCTAATGTGGCAAATGCGCTGACTTGCAGCAGTAAAGAGGGGCAGAAGGATACATTCATCATTTATTGGAGTAAAGAAGGGCTTTGTTAATATAGAAATGGGAAAAGAAGTGACATTATGAAACCAGTTTCGTTAGAGCCTAGAGGTTGCTCTCTGTCTTTGAATAAGAGACATTCAGGTCAACGATATTAAAGATTGGATGTCATCATGGTTAGTTCGCCAAGCCACGTCCTTGGCTAGGGATGGGTAGTGAAGTCCTGTCCAACTCAATTCGGATTATATATATTATGTTATATATATTAAAATATATTTAGTATCATATTTTAATTATAAATTTTCCTTTGTTTTTATTTAATCTATTTCAATAAAATACTTATAATTAAAAAAATTTAAGGTCCCACAGAGAACCTATCTCCATTGGTTAAGCAAATTTGGTTAATCATTCAACTATTCCCACAACTCTTCATTGAATTCGAAGCTTAAAAAAAGTTAATTAATTAATAACTAAACAATTATTAACTATCTTTTGTTAATTATGAAATAATTAATTAATTAATCATATTTTTTATTATTTAGTATTTTATTATGAACATTTTTGTTTTACTAATTCATATTCATTTGTTAATTGTAATTAAATTATTTTGTTATTATCTAATTAAATAATTAATAATTTATTAATGAGTCATGGCTTTAATATTAATTCTGAAGAGCAGTAGAAGGAAGTGTTTTTTCTATTAAATAAGTTTATCCATCCATTTCCACTTGTTTTCCACCAAAATGGTAGGACCCACATCCCAAACATTAGACGTCACATCAGTGCCTTGCATGCCCCACATGCACATCTCAGTGTGCATTGGGAACATCTCCCCCTACTTGTATTTGAGAGATTGTTCCCATTACATGGTGATGTGATGTGAGGTGCAAAGGTAAGTATCAAAGGTGAGATTGTTCCCAGGGAATATCTCACCTTTTTTCCATCCCATATATCTAGACTTGGCAAAAAGTTGACCCAACCCGTGAACCTAATCCAATCCAACCCGAAAAAATAGGGTTAGGATCTCATATTTAGCTACTCGAATGTGAAAATGACCTTGATTATGGGTTAACCCGCTGACCCGATTGTCAAGTCTAATTAGGATTATTTATGCATTGTTAGAAGTTTCAACTCTTTAATTTTTTTCTGTTTAGTCTTTACCTTTTATTGTTTACTCTTTAAATTGTTAAATGTTCAAGTTTTTTATTTTATATTTGGAATTTTAAGGTTAATTCTTTTAATTTTGATATTTTTCATATAATTTTTCTTTATTTTTTAGGATGACCCGAATTGACCCATGGGTCAACCCTAACCCGAACATTTAGGGTTAGGGTCTACCATTTGACAACCCGACCCAAAGTAACTTGACCCAATCCAACCCAAACCCGACCCACCCAACCCAATTCCCAGGTCTACATACACCAAACATAAAAAGAAAAAAATATTTTAGAATATTCAAATTTTCCCTTCTCATACCAAAACCCAAACAAAGCCCAAGGGAAACTCTTGCTATATATGCGACAGAACCCTTTTTTCCAAATAACTGAAGACTGTGTCTGTGTTTAGTAAGAAAAATGAGCATTACTTGTCGTTCTTTCTTCATTGTCTAGATCTAAAATTCTCCACAGAGACAGTTTGAATTTGCGACAAATGAAAGAAATTGGAAAATATGTTGCATTTGACATAGACATACCTCACATTTTTATCTCCGCCTTGGTTTGTTCTCCTTCTCGTGAATAATGGATAAGTCGCACCAAGTTTGCCATACATGCCTAAATCCAAGTTCCTTATTTCAATTGTAGAAATAAATGACACGTCATCCGGATTGAACACATTCCGAGAAACGCAGACGCTTATGGCTTCAAACTTGGTGAGATACATCACTTCTTTGTAAAAGGGGAGGCCTGAACTAATATTGTACACTGAAGCCCAGGGGTTGCCATCGAACTGAAGATCAAACTGCGGTGCAGTTGATGTTTCATCCGTTTTAATCCCATAGTAAAAATGTGCACGGAGAAGAACACGCTCTCCCTTCCCCACCTGTATGGAGTAGCAATTCTTCTTTCCGGTGGGGAATACTCTCCGAGTTGTGTATTGACGAGCAATTGATGAATTAACTGCACTCGGAACACTTTCGCTTTTACCGCTTTTAATGTAGGTTTCATCTCCAACCCATGTGATATTGTTTGCGTCAGTGAACGAATCCGAGGACCCACAATCTATGCTCAGGAATACTGCATTCAATCGCAAAGAGTAGAAAGTAAATGAAACGGAACGGATTATTATCGACAATCACACAAGAGGAAATATTAGATGCTGAGAAAATCTTACCGGCAGCCAGTGTTGGCATGAGTAAGACTAAGAGGCCCAAAAGTATTTGCAGGAGAATAACAAGAATGTTAGTCATGGTGGTCTCTCTGCAGAGGCAGAGTTAGAGAGAGAGAGATCAGATACCCCAGACAGAGCTTTTAACACAAATTTTCTTTTGCGTTTCGGCGGATTGACTTCAATTTACAGTTGCGTGGACGCCGAAGCCGTCTAGGTGATGTTTAGTATTAAAATTAAAGATCGTCACGCCTACCCTAAAATAAATGATTTAGCTACGTTGTCTTCATCATTATCATATGATGATAAATGATTAATAATAAAGTGTTGACCCGGGGTTGAGTCCGTGAAAATGAGTAAAACCGCTCATTGGATCCCGGTTTTTAACATATTATATCCAATATCGATCATTCCCGGCTGAACAATAGGCAACTAGTCACTAAGTTGGACTTGGCTCTTTCCGATGGGATCCAAGAGTCCATCCGTGGGATGTAATTATTCGTATTTGGCATTCAATTTTTTTAAGTGTTTATGTTTTGAAATAAGTAATTATTTTATAGTGAGCATTTGGCATTTTTTTCTCTAATAGGTACTTAAATAAGTATTTGTGATTATTTTGTCTTTTATTTTATTTTTTTTAATTTTTAAAATATATTCTTTGAAAGAATTTTTAATAAATTATTTTTATAAAACATTTTTATAAAACATTTTTATAAAAGTATTTTTATGAAGGTATTTTTAGAAAAGTACTTTTATGAAAGTACTTTGTTAAAAGCACTTTTATAAATGTACTTTTACGAAAGCACTTTTAAGAAAGTATTCTTACAAAAGTACTTTTATGATAAAAGTGCTTTCATAAAAATACCTTCTTAAGCGTCAACATTTACTCACTCATTTACTTCCTGCACACACATTACCTGCCAAGCATTAATTATAGGAGATCTGGTGCACCCAAGGACTTTCTCCAGGAGCACTCTCGCATTCCCCCCAGCTTCACACCTCATAGTAACTTGAGCGTCGGAGCCTCCGCCTCGGGTATCCACCCCGAGGCCTCTGACACTCTCTGTCTTGCAGTGCCTCAGATCACCAGGGACCTCGCCTCGACCAGTAGTCCTCGGCTACCATAGTCCTCACCTCGGTTTGCAGTTCTCGGCTTCGGTCAACCTCTTTCGAAGCCTTAGGTTCCCCGGATAACTCTCGAAACTTGAAAAGTAAATTTACCTCGTTGCCCTCGGCCAAACCACGCGACAACACTAACAAATAGAGAAAAAGAGGCAACATATATCATCAATCACAAAGAGGGAAGAGAGAGATATTTACCTATGAATTGAATGATGTGGATGTGCCTAAGAGGGAGACCGCAAGAGAAAATTTTGCTGATTTGCGACCATGTGTGTGAGAGAGATAATGATAGAGAGCGCGAGCGCGAGAAAGAGACGACTGAGTGAGAGAACAATTGAGTGCGTGCACGCGAGAGAGAGAGAGAGAGAGAGAGAGAGAGAGAGAGAGGGAGAGTGAGAGAAGGAGATAATGATTGAGCGAGAGAGGGATGATTAAGAGAGAGAGGAAGAGAGAGAGAAAGAGGAGAGAGACGACTGAGTGAGAGAGAGAGCGAGAGAAGGACGACCGAGAGATGGCGGGAAGAGGCGCGAGAGAGGAAATCTAGTGGCAATCATTTGGTCTCTAGCGATAATTTTAAATGACTGCCACTTGAAATATTGAATTCCAGCGGTAGTCACCAAATAGTCAGGTCAAAAGCTGCTGCTAAAGATGTTTTTTCTTGTTGTGAGTGCACCTATTCGAAGATACATAGAGAAGAATAGATACGAAGAAAAAAACATTTAGAAAGGAAAATTAAAATTTTAAATGGCCAAACCAGTTATAAATCAAGCAGTCAAAGAGGGAAGATGATAGGGTCTGGCACCCACATACACCCACACCCGCACCCGTGCCCATGCCCACAAACGACCCAACTTGGCTCAGCGTGCGCGTGTGTGAAAAGCACCCCCGCATACACCTACACCTGCTAATATACTCAAAACCATCTCTTTCTTAACCAATGTGGGACAAGAGCTCTTCACCTACATGCAAGAAGAGATAAGAGAGAAAAGACAAAAAGCAAAAATTAAAGGAGGTGAGATTCTTGAAATTTTGAATCTCCCTCAAACAATCTCCCATAAGATTCAAAGTTACAAGAATGATTGGATAACCTGAGCATTGCGGTGAGAGAAGTAGTCATGGTGATGTTTTTTGGACTTCAGCATCTGTAATGGGTCAAAAATTGATAATGCATTCCCAAGTCATCTAGTAGCTTGTTACTCATTCAACCTAATTCTAGAGATCTCCTTTCACATAGGTTGGGTGTCTATCACCAATGACTTATATAACAAGCTTCAACCCTATTCCTACCAATACCTCATAAAATATCTTAGAAGTCTATGATTTGTTTAATGAATCTATAAGGTTTTTTTAGACCTTATAAAATCCAGTGCGAGTATACCTTTGTTAAGCTATTGTCTTATCAAGTTGTGCCTTAAGCGGATGTGCCTTCTTTTACCATTGTAAGTTTTATTCTTGGCTCTAGCTATTGCTGCTTGACTATGACAATATAGAAATATAAATGAAACTGAATGTGGCCAAAGCAATATATCTGTTAGTAGGTTCCTTGGCCATTTTGCCTCGGATTCGGCTAATTTTAGAGTAATGAATTCATCAACATACAAGTAAATCATGACTCCTCATCATTTACAAACTTGCTATAGATGCATCTGTCAAAACTATTTTTGTTATATCCATTTGTCATTAACACATTATCAAGTTTTTCATGCCATTATTTGATAGCTTGTTTTAAGTTATATAGAGACTTAATTAGCTTACATAATTTATTCTTTTGTCCTAGTACTACAAAGCCTTCAAGTTATTTAATGTAAATTTTTTCTTCTAATTCCCATTTAAGAAAGTTGTTTTTTCATCCATTTGGTGAACACCAAGTTTGTAAATGGATGCTATAGCAAACAAGATTCTAATTATAGTTAACCTTGCAATCGGGGAATATGTGTAAAAGAAATTTATACTTTTCTTTTGTCTATAGTCTTTAGCAACTAATTTGACCTTAAACTTATCTATTATGTCATTTGACTTTAATTTTTTTTTAAATATCCACTTATAGTCTACTACCTTAGTTCCAAGTGGGAGATCCACTAATTCCTTAGTGTGATTAGTGATTAAAGAGTTTATTTCACTTTTTATGACTTCTTTCCAAAATACTGCATAGGAGGATGTTATTGTCTTAGTTCCAAGTTTGTTTCTTTCCTTTTTTTTTACTTCTACTTAAGTCTAGTTCTTTACTATTAGAATAAACGTTTCCTTAAATAAGTGAAATACTAGCTTCTTGATCATTTAACTCTTGTTCTTGGTTTTCGTTATAAACTTGGGGTAGTTCCCTATTTATTATTTCATTTTCACTAAGAAGATATGTTCAAAGAATTTTGGATCTCATGACTCGATAATTATGTTGTACTCTATAACATTTTCTATTATTTTTATTACAAGAATTATATACGTTGCATTGTTTTGTGCATATCCAATAAATACACAACCACAAGTTTTTGAATCCCAATTTCTTTCTTTTAAGTTCAGGTATTCCAACATTAGCTAAACAACCCCAAACTACTCCAAACATTTAGCTAGTTTAAGTTGAGTTTCCTATTATGCCAAAGTTCAAATGGTATTTAACATTTCTTCTTGGGAGGTATTCTATTGTACAGGTGACAATGGTTAGGATTGCTTCCCTCATAGGTTTGGAGGTACACTTGAACTAATTAATATACTTTTAGTGTTCTGTTAAGTCTTTCTGTGACTCCATTAGATTCAGGTTTGTAAGGGGTCGTAGTTTTATGTATAATTCCATTCTCTTCAAAGATTTTTCTAATTGTTTCTATATCATACTTAGTCTCTCTATCAATTTTGGGTTTTGATTTTCTTTACTAACTAATTTTCTACTTCAGCCTTGTAGGTTATAAAAGCTTGTTAGGTCTCATTCTTTAATCTAAGTAAAACAACATTTATATACCTAGAGTAGTCATCTATGAATGTTATATAATATCTTTTTCCTTCTTTAGCTTCATGGAATTTAAGATTCCATAAATCATCGTGTATAAATTATTGTAATTTAGTTTTTCCTTTTACACTTTTATGTGGTTTTTAGTAAAATTTTCTTTTACACATATTTGGCATTTTTCAGTTTTAAAATCATTCAAAACTCTTAATTTACAAAACCTTTTTAGATAAGGAGCACTACGATGTCCTAGTCTAACATGCCAAATATCAAAAGATTCCATAATATAAGAAGCAGAATAAGCATTCTAATTCATAATGATATCAGAAATATTTAGTACAAATAGCCCACCAATATTTATATCATTTTTCAACAAGTACATTGTTTTTAATTAACACATCTTTGTCTACTACAAATGTGAACTTCAATCCTACTTTGTTAAGAAGTGCACCCGACACCAAATGTCGTCTGATCTCTGGTACATGCAACACATCATTCAGCATTAGTAACTTTTTCGAAATTAGTTTTAGAAGCACTTCCTTTATCGATGACCTTCGAAATCTATGAATTTTCCTTAAAGACTTGATCTCCCTCAGCCTAAATTGTATACTCATAAAATGAGCTGCAATCCCTACATATGTGCTTAGTAGTACTAGTGTCCAACACCCACTCCTTCGGTTTATCAACCAAGTTTGTCTTGGTCACCATGGCTTCAATAACATCTTCAATCAAGTTGGCTTTTGGTTTTCCAAAGTTTTTTTTTCTTTCGACAACGACGATCTTTCTTATAGTGTTTAGGTTTGTCACATACATAGCATTTTCCTTTCTTTTGCTCTTTTTTAAATTTTTTATCATGTTTCACATTGAAGCTCTTTTTGAAATTTGTAGTCATTTTCTCCACCAGATTGGTTTTAGAAATTTGAACTTCATCATTCTTTCTAATGTTTTCTTCTACTTTGATTTGGACCACTACTTAATCCAAAATAGTGTCTTTGCTCTTGTAATTTATACTATTTTTGAAATCATTCCATATATGTGACAATTTTTCTATAAGAGAAATAACAACAAATTCATCTAACAATATCATGCCTTCTT